GTGTTCGACAACCCTGTCGTCAAATGTACCAAGTGCATTGAGCGATAATGATGGAGAAGATAAAGATGAAGATGAAAGGTGGGTGGAGATCACACCTGCATTCTATGCTTTCATTGCCTTGGGTTATGCTATTGGCATATGGGGAGCACTGGCCTTTTGGTATATATATATAAAAATTTTGGTAAAGAAGAAAAAAATACCTACCAATCATTTTCAAAAAATCCAAATCATATAAAACAATTTATACACCATTCTCATACCTTTTTTTACAATTAATTTTTAGATTTTTTTAAATTTTTTACGTACCCAGAGTTGTGCATACCACTCGGGGCAACTTGCATTTGCCATAGGGCGAGTCCGATTAGACTCGGCTGAGTCTCGTAACAAAAATACTAGGTGAGGGGTGTACAGTAGTTATTCTTCAAATTTTGTCAGTAGGCAAGGATGGAGGATGTCCATATGCTTTAATAGGAATCATTTCTAATGTTAAAAATGACCAATACACAGTTGAAAGGTACATAATGATAGGAAGTATGGACACTACAAATTATAGAAAATAAATAAAATTAAAATGCATTGTACACTCTCAAATTGTGAGCATTAAATGTGAAATACATGGGACTATGTTCATATTTCAGAAATATAATTAAATTTTTGTGTAATTTTCATTATCATCATCATCATAAATTGTTTGATAATAGTATTCGAGCTTTAAGTAATGGTATTACAACCATAGATAACTTAGGCAACTAAGCCAAACTCGAACGGCAATAATGTGTTACAATATACAACATAATATAAAGTAAACGATTAATTCAAGTAAGATGGTCAGAAGCTCCTCGACGTCTTGAATTTCAACTATCTATTTCTATTAGTGACTAAATTAAAAGGGGTAATAGATGTCTCCTTTCTTTACTAGGGTTAGGTAGATGGTAACATCCTCACACCCAGTTACCACATCGTGGTATCCATTCCTATCGTTGATACCCCCGATTAACACCTTCAAATGTAACTCCCTAATCTAATGTAAAAAATGAGTAGGGCCATGTCTTCCCCACTAAATTACCAAAAAAAAAAGACAATTCAAACTTACCTAAAAAAAATTGAAAGTTCAAGCCACCAAGACGTAAGGAAAAGCATGGTTTAATTGGTTAGTACGTCATGATTTGCATCGCTACATCCTAAGCTCAATTCTTATCCATGGAGACCTACATATGATATGCCAGCATATTGGGCTATTTGCTTTTTTTTTTTTTTTTGGGTAGTTAAGAGGGAGAGAAGGTGGGTGGAAAATCACGATTTCCATCTCCAAAGTTTAACGTTTCTAAAATAGAAAAAGTTTATATAAGGTTGCAACCTTACCTCTACAGCTACGGATGCACCTCAAAAATCCATAAAAAAAGATAGTTTTAATGTTGAAAAACCCTTTCATTGATCATCTCTACACCAAGATGTATGACCATGAAACATTTAAGTATCAGAAATAATGTGTTTTACAACATATTATCTACACCGTCCATTTTCAAGATGTTTATATGTTTATAGATCTACTTTATTTTAATAATTTTAAATTTTAAAATTTAATAATTAGATATAAAAATAGAATTTCGAG